ACTTAAAAATAATCTGCACCTATAACATATGTACATTTCTGCACATGGAGTAGACATAAACACTATCGTTTTGCTCTCTTAAAAAATAGACTTTATTATTCGTATATGTAGAGATAATATTGCATTTTAAGTAGTCTTAAATCGGAATCTATAAATATTTCTTGTATCAATCACTCAAAAGTATCACAAAATAGCAACAGAATTTAGAAACAATTTTCTTTAAGATACACCAGTCGCTGAGGAATAGTAAATGTGAAGAATCCTAAAAAGTTATCATTTTTATAGATTGATTAAAATTTTTTTAGTTTTTTTTAGGGCTAAAAATAGTATTATATTTGTTAACTTTTCATCTGCTTTTCATACTTTGATCATTTAATCATTGTACAAATTCTAAAGTCCATCCTCAAACTTTTACGCTAGATATATTATAAAGCTATTGATTAATACTCCTTTTATATTATAAAATCCAACCATTCAATTACTTATTCCAAACATAATTCAACGACCTTAACTAATTACAACATCTTTTGTTTCTCTTATTTTCCCATCATCAGGTAAAGGCGTTCATTTGTACTATGTGACCGGCGAGGTGTATGCCGAGTGTCTCTCCGATTCCGCCATATTCGTGCAGTCCCGCAACTGCAACTACCACCATGGGTTCCATCCGAGCACCGTGTGCAAAATACCACCCGGATGCTCGCTCAAGATCTTCAACAATCAGGAATTTGCTCAACTCCTCTCACAGTCGGTGAACAATGGCTTCGAGGCCGTCTACGAGCTGACAAAAATGTGCACTATCCGCATGTCGTTCGTCAAGGGCTGGGGGGCGGAATACCATCGCCAGGACGTGACGTCGACGCCTTGCTGGATAGAGATCCACTTACACGGGCCGCTGCAATGGCTGGACAAGGTGCTCACCCAGATGGGGTCGCCGCATAATGCAATTAGTTCGGTATCCTAAATTTAAGACAAAAAACATAACACAGAAACAATACAAAAAAACCAGTAGCTAAATGAGTATACATATGTGTGTGTACGCAAGAGAGAGCAAGAGTAAAGTATGTAAAAGACGTAGAAACAGGACAGAAAAGGTAGACGAGATAGAGATCCCAACTGAAGGGAAAAGTATATTTAGTGCCTGAAGATGATCATAAGAATTGACATTTTAATGTCTATATAATGTGTATGTGTAAGCATAGATCTATGCCCCATATAAACAGTATCCAGATCTATCCAAATATTTGTGGATATACAGATGTATATGGAAAGCTACTCAAAAACCCGCCCTTTGCCTATATTTTATAGTTTATGATCGTATGATTTTCTATGCGAATGTCATTCCTAACGCTAATACAAAACAAAACACGAAAAACGCAAAAAAATGAACAAAAACTTATGTAAGAAACCAATTAAAAAATGGTTATAACTATATACACATGATCTATATAAAATAATGATCTACCTACATGCAATGCAATGCTGTATGCCCATTGGCAAAAACGTTGTTGTTCAAGTCTATTTCAAGTGCTACTTATGTGTCATTGCAAAAACTGCTTTAAATATAAAAGAAAAAAAAAAAAAAACCCCAAAAAGAAAAAATACCTATTAAACCTATCCACTTAAAGTACATAAACTAAAGAAAGAGTTTACATAAGAATACGATGAAAACTTTATGCAATACATTTCTTAAAATGATTTTTTTATAGAAGAAAACCAGATTTATGTTCTCATTCTTTGCGGTTGGCTTTTGATCAACGAATTCAATGTTTTACAAAAGTTGATTTAAATTTATGGTTTAACTAATTTTAAGTTGGAAATACTATAGAAAAACAAACAAAAAAAAAACAACAAAAAACACTGCAATTGAAAAATGTTTAACTTGAATTAATTACTTTTTGCAAACAATGATCTTTTGTTATACATAATTATGTTTAATATGAAAAAAACACATTTTGCTATCTTTAAATATGTATAATTTTAATAGTTTTAAAAGTAAATTTAGAATTTGGTTAGTTTTTATGATTTTTTCATCTATTTTTCAGATCCTTCAAATTTTTGTGTTCCAAACCATCCAAACCAATAGCTGATAAAAAAGAGAAACTATAAAAAAAAAATCAAACAAAATCCCACAAGAAATACCTAATTTTGAAATAAAAACGTTTTTTGACTTATCAGTTTAGTTTATCATTTGTTTATTAGAATTCTACAAAAGTTATACACTTTGCATGATATACAAATATCCAAATATGAAAATGTAAATTTAGCTGTATATTAGAGGCTTGAGCAGTACACGGCCTTATATGAACTATGTAATAATTGTGCGTATTTAAAATTTTACTTGCGCCTTTGATGTTTGTACGACATATAGTCAGTTTTTACTGAATAATCGGAATAATCCAAGAGGTTAATTACCGTAACCTCACACTACAGAAAATACTCCAGCAGAATTATGAAAAACAGCCTTAAAGTTTACACATTTTAGCAGCTACAAAATACTGTATGAATTGCCTTAAACAAATGCCTTGCTTGCCATCTAATGATTAATGTATGTAATATTGTAAAACCATAAAAAATATTAAAGGATAAACTGTTTGTTTCATTTCATATATGCTTTTAGTTAGCTCGAATCGCTGATCGCACAAAAATATCGATATATGTGCATGCTAGTCGGCTGTCGCGGTCCCTATCAGTGCTGCCAGAATTTCTTAGTAAAAGAAATAAAATGGAATTCAAACTTAAAATATTTGATGAAATACAAAAAAATATGAATGATACCCTGCATTCGTAAGCCCGGTAGCGCTGCTCTTAATTTTCTTCCTTTTCCTTGAAAATAGCTATAATGGCATTTTTTACAGCGTTTCTAGCTTATTTGGCAACACTTTAGCTGCTTGAATAAGTAGCCTATCGCAAAAAGCAATCGATATATTTTTCAACAGAAGTAGTTTGTTTTGCGATAGTCCATCACTATTGTTTTTTCTGTCAACATGAACGTCTCGGCCGTAAACGATCCATTGGAACTATTGACGAATAAGGGCACTCGCGAGTCTTCATTCCTGTCGCCCATATGGAATCCCTTCGCCTGCACCCTGGCCGGCTTCGGTCTGGCCATTTTCGTCAACTGGGGCTTCCGTAGACCCGTGTTGTCGGGTAAGTTCTCCGCCGTCTCCATGTGACGTAACATTGTTTTTGTGTGTTAAATCTAGTAATTAAAAGGATTCTAAACATTCTCCGATAGGCATACAGAAACATATTGCCTTTGCGGCCATTGGCGGTGGTGCCGGCTACTATTTCGACCAGAAACGAAACGAGTATCTGGCCAAACGTGATGCCGTGCTGCGGCACTACATCGAGCTGCATCCCGAGGACTTTCCCGTGAAGGGTGAGATCTCTATTACTCTCAGAAGGATACCTCATATCATGGCTTTACTTCTGCTCCTTACATTTCAGATCGCAAGAAGTACGGCGATGTCTTGGAGAGCTGGGTTCCAGTGCGTTAAGGTGAACGTACGCAGAAGGCAGTTCTGTTGTGAATCAAACGATGCCCTAGCGCATTGTTCATATAGTAAATAAAGAAGCTTTAATTGTAATAATGAATACGAAAATGGATTGTATTCGAGCAAATCGTTACATATTTATTGGAGCAAACATACGATATTTTTGATTGTGGGTTTAATGCAAAAATTGCTCGATATTGAAGAATTTTTGAAATTACGAATTGATTTGCAGGATGCAATTATCAAAAGAATCGCATTTTTTCTTACCTTTATATTTGTTGAGCAATTTATATGTCGGAGCAATCATGTGTGAAAAGGGGCGTGTTTGCGTATTTCTCTATTCTCAAGCTCTATTTCTTCCAGCTTTTTTTTCTTAATTTCTTCTATTAGGTTCGTTTTGTTTTTTGACCTTGTCTTTTTCTTTTATTGCGATGTGCTTCTGATTCTTTAGTAAAATAAATATTAAATAAATCTTCGCAGTTATTTTGAGAATTGCGTGCCGGCTTCTTTTTCGCGCTACAACGATAGCTATTATATTATGCAAGTGCACACGCTAGTGGACACATTTGGGATATCACGTTTAAGACTTCAGAAATATACCTTCAACAATGTTTCAAAACTACCGTGAATATACCGAGGAAAGGCGAACATAACACACTTAACCCCTCTCTATTTAAACAGAGAACACCTTGAACTAAACCGTGGAAAATAATGTTGTTTGTAAAGTCATCTCTTAACTTACAAGAAATAAATGACCACGAAATCTTTCATTGGAAATTGAAATTCTTCAAGATTTATAAAGTTTCCGCCTCTATCCATTTGCGAAAATCATGCTTCTCGATTTTGATATTCGGCTTAATATTACTAGTTAGCTAAGACATTCAGCACTGAACATATAATTTTATTTATATAATATTGAATTTTGTAGAAAATAATGCTTAAGCTGAAAAGGACAACAAAAAAGTTTATAATATACCCTGCTTCCAATACGTTTTTTTTATTTGAAATCAGCTGATTTTTGCAAACATTTGATTTAACATTAGAGATGACAAAATATGTAGCAACTTGCGCAAGAACAGCAATTTTTGTGTTGGACTTAACAGAGGAGCCTGAATGTACGCTCTCGACTCAGTTTTGCGCTTCAAGTTGAGCTTTTTGCACCCCGGACGCCGCGTATGATACAAATTTTCAAAACGACGGCCTTGCCGCCCCACACGCCCCATTTGCAACTCGGACGCCGTATGTGTAATAGCAGAAAACTAGTGTCTAATTTTTTTCTGAATTCAGAAAATTCCGTTGATAAATCCCTCTAAAACATCCGATATTTTCAAAAATATATATATAAAAAATATTAAAATCCGATATATCATCCCTAATTTCCCCAGTTTTGTGTTAACCGTAAATTCAACCGAGTTTGCTCCGTTCTCTCGCATGTGGATGCGATTTAATGTTGTGCTTTGAAATAAATCCAAAAGCAACGAAGAAATTAAGCAAAAACCGCGCCATAAAAATCAATAACAAAAAGGAAGTGAAGAGCCAGAAAACCAGTTGAAAAAGTTTTATAAATAATAAGAAAATAACCGTAGAAGAAGATATTCAATTTGCAATTCTGTTTCGATTTTAATCCGTTCGTTTTCGTGCTCCGTGTGTGTTCCCCTTCGTTCGTATGTGTCGTGGTTTTACCGTTACAATTCCGAATATCTCGAAGAAATAGATAAAACAAAATGCAAAATAAAAGGTCATGAGAAATAATCAAAGCATATGAAGAAACCAAAACCAATTATTGTTCATTAACTAAAAGAGAGACACAAATGGTTTTTTCGCTCTACCTTTTGAGCTACTGTTCTCACAGCAATTTTTGAACGGAACTTCAGAGTCCGAAGCAACATCATTAACAACAAATTCCGACAAATAAATATACAAAAAACTACAACTTTAACAAACACAACATCCATATAATATAATCATAACTATATAATTAATTAACTATAACGACGAAATCAACCAGAAAACCAACGATACATCATTCATTTGGGAGCCTCCAAAAGGCCGACGGCTTTTTGCTTTTGTGTGGACTTTTTTGCACAGCGAATTTTCTTATCTCTGGAAAACAGCGCCAACAAAACAACAAAAAACAACGATTATGGCAAAGGTAACGGTTAAGCTAAAGTTTGAGTACAGAAGCCTCAGCTAAGCTCTTAATTTTATTAGAAAATTAATTATTTATGGTGAAACCAAACAGCTGTCAGAAGACCACTCCACCCACCCTCACACTTCGCACTCACTGGAGATGTGGATACACTTTCGTATCGTGAGTGATGTGACTCGGGAAAATGGTAAAATATATGGAGTAAAGTGCACTAAAATAATAGATTTTTGATAAAAGAATGGTACAGAAATAATTAGTACACTCTTTCCACTTTACATAAAAATTAATTGAGTGTCCATTTATTTCTGGAATATAGATTAATTTGGGTTATATGTATTAGTTGATTTGTTTGTGTCAACAAAAGGCAGCCCTAGACCATGGCAACTAGTACTATTAATTGGTCAAAAGTTGATGGGAAACGCTTGATGCCATCCGTAGATTTAACATTAACTATTCGATTTTTTTTTGGTATAAAACTATCATATATTGTAATATTAGCACTCTATAGGGGGATCGCCTGCTCCTTTGTTGAGCAGCTTACTTCCATCGAGGACTTCTCTGCTGGCAGGATAATGAGTTCCGACTGTGACTCAGGTGTTAGAATTTGGCTCTCTTGGAGAGCCTCTTTCTGGCAGTTGTCATTCCCGGGAGGAGTCTCAACTTCTGTTGTTCCCTGAGCAGAGATCTGCTGCTGCTGCTCCTCCAGCGAGATCGAAAACTTCAAGGGATGACCAGACTCCGTCTCATGAAGATCCTTTGCCGATGCACGCCCCATATCGGATGCCCGCGGGCTGTTGACGACTGGAACGAACTGTTGCACTTGTTTTGCTGCGGCAGGACTCCCAATGGAAAGGCGACGTCCTGCATCCCCTGGAAGTACTTTGCGTCTTGTTCCTGCCTTGCCCCTGCGAGACATTGTGCCTCTGGAACTCTTCATCGTGGGCTTCTGTGCTTTTGGGCCGGTGCTGGGATCTGCTGGCACTTCAGGTCGGACTGTCTTTGTCTTCTTCAGCAGATCCGGCAAGGTCTGTCCTTTGGCCAACATTGGCAGATGCTGCATGCTCTTCTGCTGCACCATCGTCTCCGGATGATGTTCGGGGAACCATAGGCGGAACGCTTTCCTGATCTTGAGATGCGGATAGCGATCTACCGGCATCACCTCGTCCTCGATTACCGCTGGGATAGTCGTGGTGTCCGCGGAGATGCCATATATGCCCACAAACTTCTTGAAGCCCCTGATAAAGGCGCTGTGTAAGGCTAAAAGAGATTTGCGATACCCTTCGGGATAGTGGTCTTCGATTTCGATGCGCAGCTTGCGAAGATCGTCAATGATTTCGAGCACGACATCCTCTTCCGTGCATGCACCGCCGCTGGCTTCAATCTCAGCTTTCGTCAGTTGCTTAAAGGCCATGAAGATGTCGACCAAACTGTCTTTCCGACGCTGGCGGCGTGCATCGATCGTCTCCTCGTCGTCCTCGTCCGAACTGGACTCATCCAGGGCGCTCAGATGGCTGGCAAGAGCCCGCTTGAAGTCCTGGCGATTGAAGAGCTTCTGTAGAATGGACTCGACGGGTTTCGGCTCCTCCAGGATTTCCATGAGATTATTTTGCCCTCCATTTGTTTGAAACTCCAAGGCACAGGTCTCAGTACTGTCCAGCGTATCGCAGCGATAGTAGGAGGCGGCTGCTGTCTCTGTTTTGGGCGCAACCTTTGCCAGGTGTTTCTTCTTCGACTTTGGCTTCTTCATCTGTGGAGCTACCACGACAACTTCTGGCTTCGCTGGCACTGTGGCCACGTGCAGGTCGCGCAGATACTTGAGGAACTCGAACAAATCATTGCCTGTGCCGCCCAGCCTCTTAGTGATCTCCGCCACATCCATTTCCGACTGCTGCTGCATCAGAGCCACCACGAGAAGGTCCCTGTTGTGCGAACGCTCGTGCACCATTTTGGCCTGCAGCTTGATGCTCGACATATCGATGGAGCCCGGATAGATCTGGTCGATCAACTGGCAGAAGACGACACCCGAACGGAGCTCTATGTCCGCCTGGTTGACGGAAGCACCCAAGACACCCGCCACCCATTGCTTGAGAGTCGACCTCTCAGCGAGACTCATACGCTCTGACCTCTCGACGGGGCCTGCATCCAAGCTGAATCGCCATGGTGGAGGCTTTTGTGTCTGTGATATCTCAGTGTTCCCATTCCCCTTCGGCTGCGGCTGCGGCTGTGGCTGCGTGGAGTCGTCGCATTTTGGATTCGTTTTACCTTTCGTTGTGACTTTTTTCATGATTACTTTTATTTCTTTGCTTGGTGTTAATATGTGTTGTCGTTGCTGGATATAATTGTTGAATATTATTTGAGAGATGTCTGTTCAGAATATTGTTTTTAACTGTGATAATAAGCCTACTAAATCGTAGCAAGCAGATCCCCAAATGATACTTTTTCACATGGGAATCTGTTTCGATATGCCAGTCACATGGCAACGTACAAACTCTGTGCTCATTGACCGAGTATTTTGGTTTTGCTTTAGAAATGTTCCCCCAAGTGAGTGTTGGAGTTGGTCCGTGGGTGGAGTTGCGGGTTTTGCGGGTGGGTTCGGGAAGTCAATATGTAGTGGGGTCTCCGTATCCCGGAGTCGGTTTTCACTTGTTTGTATAAATTATGCATGTTTTGTGGGCTTTATGCGTTGAATTCGCATTGATTTCTTTGGATTGCCGGTGGAATCAATGGAATCGATGGAGAAATTCGCCTGCCGCCGTCCGTCCGTCCTCTTGATTCACATGCATTTTATGGTGTGTAAAATTGAACGAGAATTGTGCAGATGGAACAAAATGTTGTAGTCTATAAATTCTTATGGCAAAATAGGTAGAAGACGATTGGATGTGGTGGGGGCTTGTCGTAAAATGTAACAAAAATCGTTAAGGGAAAAGGAAAAACAAATATGTATGTATCATACATACATACAACATAAGCCAAAGAGGAAGGATAGAGGCTACGAGATCATGTAACATATAGCCATTTATCTGGATCTAAGAGTCTTCACGAGTAATCTTTCGAAGTTGAGATGAATTCCCTCTTTAAAGGTAATTCTTTAACTCTTACTTTTTATTTTTGATAGTAAAACAAAATAAATTTACTTTTAAACACTGTTTAGACTGTATTACAGCTGATTAAAGCGTTCCCGCTTGGACACTAGGAATACTTGGTCATACAATGGTCTCTATGGACTCAAAGGTTGGATGTTTACAATCGATACTCCCAGATCTTGTGAACCCATTTTCTGCCTAAAGATACAGATACTTGGAAGAGAGATTTCCCCCTTTTAACGACTTCAGAGTTCTGCCATCGTCGTAATGAGTGAATTTCACGAGTGTTTTTCCCACCAGTAGGAAATCTCACTTATTGCTCAATCTGCAGACCATTACGATGCTCGGCCGTAAGAGCCAGAAAAGCCTTCAATCCCAATCAGCCGCTTAAAGGCCCGGAAAACGGACGGAAGGGTGATTGCGAGTCAGTGCCCCACGGCACTTCGCGGCCATTTTTCACTGGCTACCAAATGAAGCTACATATTTCTTAGGGTTTTCCTTCTCAAGCAAATTTCGCAATACATTTTTTATGACAGAGCACGTGTGTGTGGAGGGGGTTGGAGATGTGTGTTATGTATGGGTGGGCGTCAGTTTATGGATGGGTGCTGTGTGGGTGCGTGTTCGAGAACCTCATCCAACAGTCGCGTGCCTGTGCGAATCGTGACAGGTTTGTTTTGTTTCTTGATAAATTACCTTTTCACTTGTCGCTCTATATAAAATTATTTCCCTTTATCTTTAACTTTCCTTCATTTCCCTTAGCTTTTTATTTCATTTTCTTTGTCGCTTGCTCGTTCCATTTTCTTGGTGGCTGCCTATGAAATTTTGATTTACACGGAAAATGCGACCAAATGTCTGCGATTCAAGTTCAGTCGCACACAAAACACACACACACACAGTCATGCACACAAGTTGGAACAATTCTACTTTGCAGTTCTCGAGACGCTCAAGATCTCATTGGACCTGTATTATTATGTACTCTGAGGAGAGGCTAACCACAGGCCAGAGGCTCCCCCGTGTGAGGTACTTTTACTGTTGTCCTTGTGTGGAAAATAAGTTTTGTGGCGATGGGGAAATAGAAATGATGGACTTCTGGGATATCCTATAGTTAGAGGATGAAATTTAAGAAGTTCACATCCCAGAAAATATATAAAACAGTTTGATAGATTAAACATATTTAAGGATCGCAAAAACGATCGTATAAATGCATAAACGTTTTGGTAATGGATAATTTTATGGATATTTAGCGAATAAATTAGGAATTCAAAGGATTTATCTTTAATGGAAACTTCTCTTACAAACTTTTAATTTCACTTTCACTTCAACAAATACTCTCTCCTCTTGTGCCTGCAGGGTATTGGGGGATTGTATATCCTTCAATGGCTCTGGCACTGTTGTTGCTTTCGCCTTTTTCCGCGACATGCTCATAATCATCAGAGTTTCCCCTGGCACTCGCCTCCTCCTTCTTCACGGCCGCTGTTAGCTTTTGTCGTCTTGTCATGGCCCCTATATTATTATGTGCAGCAGCCTGTAGTAGTATTATTATATTCCTTTTATACAATTGTCGACTGGGGGGCGCCCTTATATACACATTTCTTTTTTTTTTTTGTGTCAACAGCAGCAGCCTCATAAGGCACAACCACAGGAGTCGCCTGCAAGTGCAAGGATATCAAGGCGAAGGAGATATTATTTCTTGTACGCTCGTCTATATGTATTACCTCCCACTGATACGGAAACGATGTGCGCTAAAGCATGAAAATATCCCTCGAAACTGATTTTTTCTTGAGGCTTTCTATATTAAACGGAAATTTTACTATTATGCTTGGGAAACTTACATGTAGAATCATCTGGAATTCCGTAGAATCTGGTTAGGATTACAAATACCTTCTTCAATAAGCATCAAACATGAAATATTGGCTTCCC